CCCAGTTGGTTGTATCTAAAGAGTTTTTCAACATTCCTCTACCTTTTATCTTTCACAATTTCAAGGCCCTTATAGAATTTGTATCCGTTTTTGCTTTTAGACCTGGCAAGTGTTGCTAATTAGTTTTGTTTAGAATGCTTTCGAGATCCTTATTGAGCCATTGTTGAATTAGTTTTAGGTGAAATCATAGCCATGTATTCATATCTCGAACTACCCATTATCAGCTTTTCAAGAAAGTGGTGTTATTCTTTTTTATCTTGTACATTTTTTAACAATATTTGTGGTGTATATGCGTCCGTGTGTGTGTTCCCATTTCTTCAAGTTGGTCGAAATTTGGCTCAGTCTTCAAGCAAAGTGCCAAAATTAGTATATATACTGTATACATGTGTATATCTATTTGTATGTATATATGTATAGGGGAGTGCATAAAGAGAATGGGTTTTGAGGTCCTTAAATTCGTCTTTATTCCTGTGGGCTCAAGTTGGTGGGATTGATTTGATAATGCACCTGTCATTGAATCATGTGATCTTGGTTTTCTTGCTCACTCCCTTGTTCCTTCTCTTGTTTTTTGTCTAATGCATTTTGTCTCTCTTTGAAAAAATTATGAATTATCACCACCGATTTTTGTGTAAACTACAAGAATTTTTTGTGGGTTTCTAGCTATCTTTATCTGTATTGGATGGGTTTTTCCTTGCTTATGTTAGAGGCAAATAGTCACTGAAGAATCGCGTTCTTTTCCTTATTGTCAACAAAAAAAAGGAAAAAAGTGTAGCAAATGAATGAGTTTCAGTTAATTTGGCGCTCACATTTTGTTAATGATTTTGATAAGAGATGATTTTGATGCCTCATTTAATGTTCTTAAGATTACAGATGTCATCTTATTGAAAATGCTGAGGGCGTGAGCATGCCACATGGGTTTAGTGAGAAGTAGACAATGTTTGTTGCTTTTTACATCTTTCTCGTTGTAAATTAGAGCTATTAGGCTATCATTTGGTGTTTTCTTGTAGTATCATCTCTTCATTTTTTATCTTTTTGGCTAATTTCATATATCTGCTTCTTTGATGATCTACAGTTAATTATTACAATTACCTGCAATTTTGAACAAAGATTAACGTTCAAGAACCATGGATCTTGACCATGGGCGTTGCTGGGGCACTTCAAAGGTTTGTAATTCATAGTTCTTGTTATTTATTTACAGCAATTATGGGTCCAATTTTCCATTTATATGCAGTGTTTGTCAGTAAAGTATATTTTTCTTTAAAGTTTCCCTTGTACATTCTTATTTGGGCTACATTCTTGGAATATTGATCGTTAATTGGTTTTCAGAAGGATTCTTGGAAGACCACTCTGCTTTTAGCGTATCAGAGTCTTGGTGTTGTATATGGAGACCTTAGCATTTTCCCTCTCTATGTATACAAAGGCACATTTGCAGAGGACATTCATCACTCTGAGACAAACGAAGAGATTTTTGGGGTTCTTTCTTTTGTTTTCTGGACTCTAACTCTTGTTCCTTTATTCAAATATGTCTTTATTGTACTTCGAGCAGATGATAATGGAGAGGGTAAGATACGAATGGAAAATTCTCTTCGTTGCTAGTCATTCATTGGTAGTCCCTAATTCGAGATTGCTGCAGGGGGCACTTTTGCTCTATATTCCTTGATATACAGGCATGCTAAATTTAGCCTTCTTCCAAATCGACAAGTAGCGGATGAAGCTCTTTCTACCTATAAATTTGAACACCCTCCCGAGCCCAAGAACAATAGCTCAAAGGTGAAGTTGGTGTTTGAAAAGCATAAATCCTTGCTCACTGCTTTGCTAATTTTAGTTCTTCTCGGCACTTGTATGGTCATTGGAGATGGATTGCTCACTCCAGCAATATCTGGTTGATAACCTTCTATCCGATTTGTATGACTTTGATTTGAACATTATAATTTGCTAATAATCTGTTTCGTTTTGCAGTTTTTTCAGCAGTTTCTGGCCTAGAGTTATCAATGTCTAAGGATCAGCACCAATGTAAGCTTCTTTCTTTATAAGTGTCGTTTTATGCCTGCTTTCTACTCGATCAAACTTGACGTTCACACATGACGATAAGGGCTGGAGATGGACATGCAATCAAATTTGTTCAAAGATTGCACCAGAAAGAAAAGGAAAAGAAGCTTGTATTAGTATTTCTGTGTGATCTCTGTCTAGATTTAATTTCAAATTACAGAATATATCTTTTAATCCTTCTACTTCCTTCCTTTCTTTCTTTCTAGCTATACTTTTTTGTTCTTGGGGAAAGTTGCTTCCATGTTTCTTCCAGATGGAACAAAGAATATTCCTACCAAAGCAGAGAAAAATGTTATTAGAATTCTTACTAAAGCCCAGGTTGATGCTGAGCTAGAGCAGACGAAGAGCATGACTGCACAAGAGGCTGCTGCACAAGCAGTCGCAGAGGCAGAACCGTTACAATGCAAGACTTTAGGATCTATTTTGCATCCAGACCAGATTGCAGATGAGCAGTTGCTGGTCTTTTTGACCAGATCCTGGCCCGGCTCATATTCTATAATGTTTTTCCAGTTCTTACTCTTTGATAAATACACCTTTTGACTCTGACCAAATTCTTTCTGATTTGCAAATTACCTTGTTTCTCTGATAATATCATTTTACGTGTATGCAGATGTGCAGATAGCCACCACCACTCATTGCATCTCTGGATCTTGGCAGTGCAATGCCTATCTTTTGCAAATATCTAAACCCATATGATGCATTGACAGAGAACATAATAAAGTAGAAGAGAGAGAGAATTAGAGAGAAGAAATAGAAAGAAGAAAGAAGGAGAAGAAAGAGGAGAGAATTAGGCGGAAATATTAGATAACAGAGAAGCAGAATTTGGAAGGGAAATTTGAAATATAATAGGAGGAAAAGTTCACAATGTTGTATTGATTCAAAA